GGATAAGTTTTTTTTTTTTTTTTTTTTTTCTGTAAAAATGAGGTTAGGGAAAACTAAGTAGCCTACCATCAGTCATTTTTGCCAACCATTTTTTTTAAGAACATGACCACCTTCAGGGTTCAAAAAAGGATGTTGAAATTTGACAGCAGAGCACTTCTCAGGTCACGGAGCTGATTTTTGCTGCCACAATGTAAATCCATCCATAACTGACCTGGTTCAAGCCTCCAAACTGTAAAAATCTCTGAATGTTCCATCTATGTTCAACAATTTTCCAGCCAACGAAAATATCATTTCCACATAGCAGTGGGATTTGCCCCACTACTGTCAACACATACTACTTGTGTTGTGTGTGCCAACCTTGTATGCCAACTGCATGCCAACCACATTTTAATATACTCAGGGTTCAATGTGTCCCAACTCTGTGTGCACTGCATATGCTCCCAGATCTTCCTGAGCCTAGGAATAGAAGGCAGGTCCCTTATTTAGCATCTCATCCCGCTTGTCTGACCACTTTTCAGAATGAATGTGCCAAATCTGTGTCCTGAGCTATGCTGTCTAATGAACATGTATCATTCCCATTCAAAGCCAAGCACAGAACCAAGGATTCCTAATTCCCAGCATTCTAAGATCTAGACCTTGATCCCAGGTCTAGCAAATAGCTGCTTAAGCTATAGTTTATGTTAGTGCTGTAGTACACTGTAATGACCTGTCCATATAGACTTCCACAGCTAGCAGCTAGTCCTTTATCTGAGTTGTGACTCTAAGAGTACATCTGCATGTTGCCTTATGGCAATGTCATTAAAGCACTGTGCTTTTGTAATTCCTTTTGGAAGTACTACAGCACGGCGCAGTAACTGCCTGTACTGCACCATACGCATGGCACACAGTTATTTTTAGCAGCTACTTCGCCGTAGCGGCGCACTACAATGGGGGAGCACGCCACTATGGCAAAGTAGCTGCTGATCACATGCAGACACCTGTGGACAGTACATTGCCGTACAATGTCAGTATGGCGATGCAGCATCATATGTAGATGTGCCCTAAAAGAAGCAAATTCCAACCGTTTCATGTAAGTCTAGAGAAAATAAGATTCTATAGTCTATAATATATTCTCCTTTTTTCCAGTTAGCTTAAAAAACCCTAGGAAATAACATACAAACATTTGTTAAAAGAATGTTATTTGGTCGGATAGTTCAAGCAATCTAAAGTTGGGAAAAGCATGAATTACAGTTCCCTGTTCAGTTTAAAGTTACCTTGCTTGTGCATATACATTATGACTCAGACTTTAAATATGTGACTATATACTCTTTATTTTCTCTGATGCATGACTTATTCAAAATACAGGATGAACAGTACCTGAAGCAGAGGGCCATAAGAAGAGAAAAGACTTATTCTTGCATATAATACATTAAACCAGGACACAGGAAAAGTGGTGTTCTATGTTTACCTCTGCCGTGGACTTCATAGGTGGTGTCATGGCTCTCAAATACATATACAAACAGACCACATGGACAACTTATGACAAATTCTAACATTCCCTAACTATGAATGTTAGATTTTGCCAGCCTAACATTGTTTTCATACAGTCTTTTACATGTAAAAGAGAGAGTATTTATATGGACATGTTGGAAGAATTGGGATTATTTCTCTAGAGAAAATAGTTTTCCAATACAAAAAAGCACTGTTTTAAAGAGGATAGTGACCAAGAGTGCCTATACATGAGCAGCAAGGCTGCTCCAACGTGCTGTAATTACTTGATTAATTGAGCCTGCTGGAACATAGTAACTACCATGCTCCAGCAGGCTCCAGTGTCTTGTGTATTAGCGTCCCTGAGCTGAAAAATGGCAGCAGGGGCACTTAAACGAACACTTGTTTAGACAAGCTTGTTCGATGAGCTTTAGTTAAAGCGCCCCTGCCACCATTTTTCAGTGTGGGGACACTGATACACAAGACACTCTGGGTGCTTTAATCAGAGTGGCTCTTGGAGCCGCTCTAATTAAAGCACCCCCCACACACGCTCCCAGAGCATGTGTGTAAATGCCCCAAGTATTTATTCTGCCCATAGGGACAGGACAAGAAGTAAAGGGGTTTACATTGCAACAAGGGAGATTTGCTATTAGGAAGAACATACTAATTATAAAAACGGTTGAGCACTGGAACATATTACTAGAGAAGGTAGGAAATTCCCTTTACTGGAAATGTTTAAAGGCTGGTTAAACAAATGCTTGTTTAATCAGAGATGATTCTACATGAGCGGAAGGCTGGGCTACTTTAGTGAGGGCCAACCTTTTTGGCAGGAATGTCATAAATTAAGCTCCACACTGTCCCCGAGTCCCACGCCAATTCTCTTCCCCTTACCAATATGTTGTTCTGTTTTCCACTTCCTGTCCTATAGTCCTTCCCCAATCTGCCGCTTTGCTTTCTGTGCCCTGCCCTGTGTCCTTACCACTGCTGCTTTTTGCTGTCTGCACTGTCTGCCACTATGCTCCCTGCTCCCTCCCCCATCTACCACATGTCACATACACAGGTTGCTTGTGCTACACATTGGCCACACCTGACCCACATGACCTGTTATGCCCTTCCAGAGCTATTTTCTTATGATTTTATATATTGGATTTTATAATTACATGGAAGAGGGGTTTTTTTAAGCATCATTCTCTCCAGTGGAGTGGATAAAGAGTGTTTATAAAAACCCATGTGCTTAATTTTGCTTCTTTTGAAATTAAAGGCAAAACTTCCAGGGCCAAAGTCTGTCCTAAATAATATCGCATCCAATTCCAGTGAAACCACCAGAGCTGCAAAAGCTGTCTCAGTAGATTCTGGTCCCTTATGTCTTTAGTGGGAACAACTCCAGCCCCATATTTGCTCAGATAAGCAGCTTAATCCAAGCTCCTGTAGTCAGGAAACTCATGTAGATTTTGGATGTTCTATAAACATTAAAAAAATGTAAATCTGTGACCCTCTGTTGTACTGGTGTAAAGGAAAGACAGGTTTGCCCCATACTCCTTTCACTTCTACTTTAAATAAATAACAAATATAAACAACTTGGCATAAAATGGCGCAATAGAAAAGCAGCTTTATGAGATAGGTCAGATTTTTAGTCTCCAGATGACATTCTTTTTCTATAAAAATATTAATGTGCACGAGGGATTATTACCTCTAAGGCTGAACTGACTGAACAGTACACTGTTCTGAATTCTGAAATCAGAATACAGTTCCCTGCGCTCTAGAAAGATGCTAAGCTTTAGCTACAGGCACAGAGCTGGCTATTGGCTGATAACTGGTCATATGGAAAAAATGCTCACCAGTCCCAAAGCCAGTCCACCTCCCTCAGTCAGATAAATCTGTTTCAGAATGCATGTTTATGTAACAGAAGAATTTGGTGGAATTTAAGCAGCTCTGAAAGTAATTAGAGATGCATGCCAAACAGGGATTTAAATGGATCACTGAGTGACTTCACCTCAAAAGACTCCTACATATAACAATTGAATATTTTGTTTAAATATTAAAGACCCACCTATGTCTGCTATTTGCAGACAGTGCTGCTCATACATATTTTTTGTATTTTTTTTCTTTATTACTTGGAATACTAACAAGAAAGCAGGATATTTGTTGTTTTAAGACCTTCTCTGTTTCTCTTGCTGAAATTGATTCCTCACTCAAAGTCACAACCTTCTGTTTGTTATGTCACAAATAGTTGCTTTGGAGAGACTTATGATGTGATAAAAGCAGAGGATCATAACTGCCAGTAGGAAATGAATTCTTTATCAACAAATGTACTGTTGGATGGCTGATATCCCTGGACCACATGTTAAATGTTTACTCATTCCTGTAATGGAAGCTGCAGGTTCTGGCCCACCAATTATAATAATCAGGGAAAAAATGAAGAAAAAAAATTAAAATGTGATGTACTAATTTTTGCATCAAAATGGTTTGGGGTTTTGTTTGCTTGTTTTTTGTTTGAGTTGCATGAAGCATATTAATATTAAAAAAAGGCTCACTTGCAAATAAACAAAGGAATCTTTTTTAAACATTTCAACTACCAGTTCTTCCCTTTATAAATAACACAATGAACAGACATCCTGTTGTGTCACCATATACATTATTTAACCTACAACTAACCTGAAACTGAAGGCTTCCCATACTATCAGGGAAATCACGTTGAAAAAATAAGAATTTCACAGGAATCAGAGATAATGTGATTTTAGATCAGAGCTCTTGGAAAAGCAGGAAAGGAGCACAAAGCATTCTGGGTGTTCACAGCATTCCATATTTTTAAGCACATATGTCTGAGCCTAAAGTACCAGGGAAAACAGGGTAAGGCTTGTCAATGCAATGTGCTCACGGTGCAGATAGACAAAAAACCCAAAACCATTCATTCCCCTGCCCCTGCTATACTGCTTGAAAGGCAGGATGATTTACACCTTGCAAGCATGGGTCAGCTGATCTATCATTACTGTTTCATTTATTCACTCCTATCCTGCAGTAAATGGAACCTAAGTAGAGAGATGAAACATTTACATATGATTTAGCTGAACAATGGTTAGTTCTCCATTGTTAAGCAGTATAATTGTTTTGTCTGTCCCTTCCCTCTTTGCTCTAAATCTGACCAGAACTTTGCAATTGCCTCTAGCATAAGAATGGCTGAGTTGCTGGAGAGTTATGCATCTTTTCTGGATCTTCAGGCTGCTGATTCCTAAACTAAGGTGGTGATTCATTTTTAACCCAGTACAATTGAGAGACAAACCAAACCAAACACAAAACCTCAACTGGATGTCTAAAAATATATTAAGCCATTTTCTTCTATACAGTAATACTTCATCAGTTTTATTCTACACAGTAATACAGTTGCCAAGTAGCATGAAAGACCACACCATAAATATTCTTTCTTAAAATTGCTGCATCTTAAGTGTCCAACAGGGTCAGTACCAGATGTTTCAGAGAAAGGCACAAGGCACAACCATGAAGGTCACACCTTCCTGCCCTGAGACTCTCACCTTCATCCCTGCTAGTTACAGATTTTGATAAGCCCTAAATTATGAGATCGTATACTCTCTGAAAACATCTTCCTAGGATTAACTGTCATAACCTTGGATAGTCTTGTTAACTATGTAAGTGCACAAGGCCTTTTTGAATGAATATTCATTTTGTTTAAATTCCTGTGGCAATAAGCTCCATATTTTCCTTTTAAGTTCTGTGAAAAAAATATTTTCTTTAATCAGTATTGAATTTTCCACCTGTCAGTTTCCTATGATACCTCCTTATTCTTGTATTAGGATCCAGGCAAAACAGAAGCTCTTGCTGCACCTTCACTATCATATTTATTATTTGACATACTTTTAATGAATTCCTTCTTACTTGTCTCCTTTCTAAAGTACACATCCAATTCCTCTCAGTTTCTCATCATAAAAGAGCTTGCCCATGTCCCTAAACCAGTAGTTTTCAACCTTTTAAGACTCAAGACACCCCTCATTCGATTCAAGGCACCCCTCAGAAAATGAAAGCTCTTAACTTTGGCTCATTTTTTGACTGTGGACAGATAATATGATCATTCCTCCGTGGCAAAGAGCGCAGAAAGACCACAACAGGTCAGGCTATTTTTGACACTATCAATTTCTATTTGAAATTTCTAGGAGTAGCTTGTGAATCATGTATAGGTGTTTGCACACGTAACACTGCTAATCTTATGTGGCAGCCTGGCTGAAAATCACTGCCCTAAACATTTCTTTTATGCTTCTCCAAACCCCTTCTAACTTAGCAGCAGCATTTTTGAGATGTGATGCATTGCACAGGCTGCACCATTGATTTATATAATGGCATTACCCTATTTTCCATCCTTCTGTATTGTCCATCCTGATCCTTAGGTCTTAGAATTTATTTTTCTTTTTGAGCTCAGGTCTTCAATGAATTGTATACAGTGAATCCAAGGGCCCTTTCATGAGATGGCAGCAGCTATTCAGACTTTCCTAGTAATGTACATTGATTTGCAATATCAACTCTGAACTTCCTTTGTCATTACAATGCCATTCATTTATCTTGATAAAGATCCCTTCAGTCTCTCCAGGGTCCAACTAACACAGGAGTGGGCAAAATGCGGCCCGCGGGGCAGATGTGTCCCGCCAGGCCATTCTATCCGGCCCGCGGGACCCCAAAAAAATGTAGAAAATTTATATTTATCTGCCCCTGGCTGCCTGTCATCCTGCCTCTGATGGCTTGCCAAAACTCAGTAAGCGACCCTCCACCTGAAATATTTGCCCTCCCCTGAACTAACCTAAGCATCTGTGTGTAACTTGAAAATGCTGTTACTTCACTGGTTGTTCCTCTCTCTGATAAATATAAATCAGATTTAGGATCTTGGAAGAAAGACTCATAACAATCTTCTTTCCTTTTCATATTATTATTTTCCAAATCAAACATTTTGAATAATACATTGAACTTTTTTCTTCTCCTCTCTACATTTTCATTAATTCTTCTTCTGAGACTCTTCAGGGTAATTCTGGAAGACCCAAGAATGACTACAGTAATGCTGTAATACCAATTAATTTGTCACTTCAGTGATTTTGTATCTCTGAGTTACATATTTTCTACATGTCATTTTATTTATTCATTAAGCATTTTAACTTCTGCATATGTATGTTTCGTCAGATGGCAAAATAGTTAATTCTGCAAACACTACTGGGAAAGCAAGTGTGTTTAATAGTGCAAGTTGGACTTTAGATGCTACTAGCTGTCAAGTAGCTGTTAGAAAGCACTTTACATGTTTTTCGATCGAAGCTATCTCATTTTCCTTTATTAGAGACTACTTGTTATTTCTCTCCTTGAAACCAAACCAAACAAAAACTACTATTTTCTGTCTACTTCCTGTAGATTTTCTATGAAGAGCGTATTGGTAGAAGAAAATTATAAACTAACCGGAAACTCTGATCTTGCATATATATGCTTAATATAAGCATGCATGTGTGTCACTAAACATTAAGTCCAAGAGTCATAAGAGTGCATTATCCAATGACCAGCTGAAGTCAGTGAAATCTTTAATTTCAATCACTGCGCATTGGATCAGGGCCCAGGTTATCTTTTAGTAGAAATTAAAGCAGGCTATAAGTAAAATGCTGTTTAATATTAAGCTCATTCAGGAAACTAAGACAATAGGGCAATAAGAGGGCTTAAAGTGGGTTTTCAAATATTCTTCCTGACACTTGAGTGAGTCCCTTAGAATAAAGGCACTTTTCCAAGAGCTCTAATGAATATCAAAATCAAAGCAAGTGCAGATAGAATACCAGCCACATACTGATGCCATTAAGCTTTTTGACAGTGGTTATGTAGACACGGAAATTGTTATATATTACCATTGTCAATTAACAGCCTCAAAAATAGTCTTTGAATTGTCAGTTATTGCCTACTTAAGACCTGGAAACTTTTATGTATATGCAACCTAAAAATTCTCAAGACCTAGAAACTTAAGCGTGCATGGCATTAAAATGATTCTCAGGATGCCAGAGTTCTGGACAATCTTGGATATCGGCCGAATTGGAATTATATCATTTTTTTTTAAATATGTACTTGAAGTAAAAAGGTGGCTTTAATTACATAACTTCACTATACCAAATTCTTCAGCCTACTGAAACTGCAGATCTTTGTGAGCCTTCCATCTACTAAATAAAGTTTATTATGTATATGTGGGTGTATTTAAACAATTATATAGCTATACATGCACATATATACACGCATAAACACATGTATACGTATGCATTAGTATTATAGGGTGTGTGTAGACAAAACAAGGGCCCCAAATTGAAGCAGTGGGTTTTAAAAAACACCGCTTCAATTTAGGGCTGATTAAACCCCCGTGTCGTGAACATACCACATTGACTTACCTGCCTCTGGCAGGGAGGGGAGGGACAGCTGCCGGCAGGGGGGAGCAGAGACTGGTGCTTCCCTCCGCAGCAATGGTGTGTTTCCCCCACCCACCCCAGCGGCACATGCCCACAGGCACCCGATTCAGGCAGTCCTGGGGGGCACCGCAGCTGCAGAGGGAAGCACTGGACCCTCGTACAGCTCAGGCAGGCAGGAAGGCTCCGAAGCAGCAGGGGGATGATCAGGCTCACTGCTTTTCTTGGGCGGAGCCTGCTTTCCCAGGCTGCTGCCAGGCTGCCTGCAGGGCTTCCTACCACGGCTGTAGGAGCAGCAAACCAGAACTCCTCGAAGGAGTTTTAGTTTGCTGTGCTCCAAGTCATTTAAGGCACATTACACCGCCAAATTTCCTACAGCCGCTGGAATTAATGCGCAATACACCGCCAAGGCATGCAAACACTGACACTATTAAAGCACTGCAAAAGCATTTAGCCCGCTTTAAAGGGTCGTGCACCCATGCCTCTCATTTAGTCTACACACGGCCATATATACTAATGTCTGTATCTGAACTAAAGCTAGTATGTTTTGATGTAACTGGTATGTACGCATTGTAAAGGAGGAGTTGTATTTGAGCCATAAATTTTTAGCTGGTTCAGCTAGTTCTTTATTTTCTACATCTTTCTTAAGGGTCACTCCAAAATATAAGTAAAATCTAAAGAAATTAATGTCATACATGGCATTATTTTCTTCTTCCTTGAGGAGCTAGATTGCCTCATGTCTTCTTATTGAGCCTTTATGTTTATCCCATGAGGTTTTTCTTCCCTCTTCTAAAATTTCCCACCAAAGGAGGAACCTTTCCCCAGTTTTTTCATAAAGTACCTGGAACTTTGCAATATACAGTATCATATTTCCCAGGTAATTCCAAATGATCAGAAAGGTTACAAGTACCTGTGTTTTATGTAAGGCTCCTGCCCTGCACCCTAGGTAACTGGGTCAGCTGCATAAGACTCAGGCTCCTGCCCTTCAGCCCTCATAACTCAGTCAGCTACACTTGAACTAATTGAGGTGAGCCAATTCACCTCCCTGCCCAAACCTTTTCCTTCAATTTATTTTGGGGCTGCTTTTAAGGAACTCCTACAGCACCTGAGCCTTGCAGCACAAATGATCTCCAGTCCCCGAGTAGCTCCTACGTGGTGATGTTTCTGGCTTTCCTGGTTCCTGATCCTGCCTTTGGCTTGTTCCTGGATTTTGGCTTTGGATTTCCCTGTGGATCTGTTTCCTGCCTCCTGACCCCAGTTTGGTTCTGTTCTTGGACCTCACCCAGGAGCATGCACATGAAGGCTCTGCATGTTTGCCTCTTCTCTCCTCAGAGGAAAGACAAAACCTCAGGAAGAACCCTGCACCACATTCAGGACTGTTAGATATGAACTTCATGTGTAGTAAGTGTGGGATGGACTGTCATTTGAGAATTAGACTCTATGGCCGTACTCATGGATATTCAGTGAGGTGATGCCTCACTCAGTGCAAATCTATTACCTCACAAGACAGACAGATGCCCATATAGTCCTTGTCCTGAGTACTGTCCCTCAGATTTGGTAACTAGGCTTCTGATCCTGATATTTACTTGGTATTTGGTTCCTGACTCATTGCTTCTGACCCTCACCCCAGCAATCCCCAGCTCTATTCACTAGGCCAGCCATCCCAGTGGACTGTGACATTTTACATAAGATCAATTTTCCAATTTAAGAAATCCAATATAACATCAAAATTCTGCTGACAAATGCAGGGTGCTACATCTCAAAGAATAATCAAAAGCAGAAATACAAAAATAAGTGATACCTCACTGGATTGCAGCACTACAAAGCAGAATCTAGGACCCTCAATGGAGCACAGACTTGATACAAACCTGCAGCATGATGCAGCTGAACAAAAAGCTAATGCAGTTTTGGGCTACATTAACAGAAACATTAAGTACAAGAGATGGGGAGTGATAATGCCTCTTGACTCGGAGCTAGTTAGGCCTCATCTAGAGTAGTGTGTTCAGTTTTGGACTCCACATTTTAAAAAGGACATAGAGAAATTAGGGATGGTTCAAAACTGGAAAACAAAAATGATAAAAGGGCTCAGAAGGCAAGCCATTGGAGTACAAGGTGAAAGAAATAGGCATGTTCAGCTTGCATAAAAATGAAAGCCACACAAGAGGAGACATGAAAATAATCTTCAAGTATCTGAAGGGCTGCCATAAACAAACAGTAGTAAAACACCTTCCTTGCTGCAGAGAGCACGACACAGACCAAGGGCTTGAAGTTGCAGCCAAGTAGGTTTAGACTGTAAATCAAGTAAAACTTCCTGGTAGATCGCTGAGGCATTGAAATAGCCTGCCGAGGGAAGGTGTGGACCCTCCATCATGGAGGTGTTCAGGAAGAGACTGCATGGCCACATATAGGTGGTGGAAGCCCGGGGCTAATGGGGCTTACGCCCCCCAAACCAAGGTGGTGACAGCGGCTCCAGCACCACCACTGCTGCAGCGCCGCACCCAGAGGCCCCGCCGCCATGTGCACGGCACCAAGCGCATGCCAGCCCTGTGGAACAGCCCTGCGGGAGAAAGGGGCAGGCTCAGGCAACCACGCTCCGCACTCCTCAGACCCCCCAGATAATATTTTCTAGTGCCACTTATGCAGCCACTGGTCAGAGATGATCTAGGAGTAGCTATGCCTATATTCTACCATGGGTATTTCTGGGCTTTGCTCGTTGCCATACGGGCCCAGGAAGGAACTTCCCCTGTTATTGCTACATATGTCAGGGAGGGATTTTTTACCTTCCTCATAAGCATTGGATGCTGGCTGCAGCCAACGCTGGGGATTTTGACTGGGGTGTGCCTGTTTGCCTGCTGGGACTTTAACCTGGTAGTTCCTGACTTGAGGGTCTCACCCCTCTGCTCACGTTCAAAGCAACTGCCATATCTGGAGTCAGAAAGTAATTTTATCCCATGGTCAGTTTGGTATAGACTGTAGGGGGTTTTATCTTCATCTGTACTGGGGGTCTGGCTCTCTTCCTCGGACCTCAAGTATGTTTTAACAACCCTCACAGCAGCAGGACATTAGCCACTGTTGCCCCCCTGCAGCAGGTTAGGGTGTCCTGAGAGTTGACTGGGCAGTTTTACAAATAGGTTAGACAGTGGATTGTGCAGGATGGTTTGGATGGCGATGTTCCTGCTTCTGGATGACCTCTGAAGGTCCCCTCCAACCCAACCTTTCTATACTTCTATAATTTGATTAGGACAGCCTAATTAATAACTCATACTAAAACACAGATAGGTGCTGTAAGTAAAGTGCTGCCTAAATTACCCTGATGAAGCACATTTACTGTTATAGATTCCACTCCACTAAGTGAACCTACAAAAACAGTCACAATAGAAGCTTAAGTGGGATATTTTTTCAGGTACAGAATGGTATGTACTGTAAAGCTTTAATCTGCGCTGGCATAAATAAGAAATATTTACAATGCTACTCACTGAAGGTCAACAGAATTTTAGCAGCAAGAAGTGGGTCTGAGCTGAGTAGCAGGCCTCATGCCTCCAGAAATCTTTAATGAGGCTGATCTGAAACTCTGAATCAATGACAGTGTGGTACACTCCACCCTAATCATTACATTTCCACATTTAACTATTTTTAAATTAACCTAATGGCAAGCAAGTAGCTGTTTGGGTTTGTCGGGTTTCTTCCTGCCCAATAAGAACCTAAGAGCTGGTCTATTCAAAGGGAATTGTTAAAATTCTCAGGGGTAAGAGGGGTTTACTCTCTCTTTTTCTTCATTCACAGCTTTTGTTAGGATCTATTCAAATTCCTTCCCTCTTTCACTGAATCTATGCATCAGGCATTGGAAGCTTCAATTAAATAATTTAAGGGAATTAGACATCAGAAACACAAATTTTGTTGGTACAACAGCCCCTGACGTTCTACAAGGAATTTAAATGGTTTAGGGTAAGTTCACTTTAGTCTTGCTTGTTTAACTGGGTTTCGGAGATTCCTGGTATGAGCAATGAGCCACTCATGAAGGATTCACCATTAAGATACAGGCTTTTAAAAATTAAACTTGGAATTTCATATGATAAAAATATATCGGGAGAGGGGATCAGTAAAGTTATTTCAAACTTAATGCAGAATGAAAAAAGGACATCAATAATATAAACACTAACCACATCTAACACACTGGTCTCAAGAACTATGTTCCACTTGTAAGTATTTCTTTCAAGTGTGCAGTACTTTCCTCTTGAAAAGCAATTAATGAGAAAGTCATCTCACATATTTGCAATGCTCCAATTTACAAATAATGGATGCACTCTCATAATTCTGTCATGAGTAAAATAGGTAGCTGACCAGGAATTCAGAAGGCATATATGGGGGTCACTTTATTCTAGCTGACCAGTTGAGAGAGACATTAAACCACTAAAGACAATAACATCATTAAGAAAAAGCATTAATGGATCAAAAAAAAATTATTTTGAAGTTGATTCTACTGTAGTTCCTATGTACTGACTCCATATGGTAACATAAGGGTCAAGAAACAGGATGTGGAGAAGGCTGAAATGACAAGTCTATAGTAGAATGGTTTCCTAAGAGTATACTTTATTGTGGCATCATCTAGGGCATAGAACTGATAACTATTATACTGTCGCAGAGCACACAGGTGCCCTGCGCCTGAGAGCAGAAACAGCTCGGGAGAGAGCGCTAGCAGTGAGTGGGGAGCCCAGCTGCTAGTTACCAGGGCAGCCAGAGTCACAGGTGCTGGTTGCTAGGACAACCGCTGGGGAGCCAGCTGACAGGAAGGGGCAGGGCCTGGCACATATAAACCCCAGGCGTGAGGCCAGGAGGGCAGTTCCCCACTGGTGGCCAAGGGAGAAGGAGTTCGGCCAGGGCAGGCAGAGGGGAAAAGCCTGACTGCACAAGCAGCTGCTGACTACTGCTACGGGTTGGAGCGTTCCCTGGTAGGAACTGAATGTTGTTTTGGCCGGACGGTTTAGGTTCTTTTATGTTATAGCCCAGGGACTTTGTGTTTTGCGTTTGCTGTTTATCCAGAGGAGTGGGTGAGGCTATTAGGCGCTGGAGGAGGCCCCATAGGGGCTGCACGGCAGTGTGGTGACCCCGGAGCTGGAAAGGGCGTGGCATTTTGGGTGCACTGACCCCAGCCCCAGAGTGAGGGGGGCCGGGAGAAGCCCCAGAGAACGAAAGTGGGAGGAAGCCTCACCAAGAAAGGGCAGCAGAGCACCAGGAAGGTCCAGGATGAGACAGGGTGGCGGAAGCCCAGGGAAGTCACGAAGAGGGCTGAATTACAGCAAGGTCCAGGTTAAAACCACGTCAGTACCATCTGCGAGCCTTGGGTTGCAGTGTAGGGGAGGAAAAAGGAGCTGCAGATAGCGCCCCCTGGCCACCGGGGTGAATAACATGGGCAGCCTCCTGCTGATTTACATCAATTAAGATCAAGACGTGGCAGGCGAGTAAGCAGGCGGTTGGCCCATAACAGGAGGGCAGAGTCACCAATAGGGAGGCTCCAGTAGAGATACTCCTGTCACACATACCAATAGTGATTGATGCAGTGCCATTAAATTTGGTGCTACAGTCCAGCTTTTGTACTGGTTTTCACATGCTAATAGAAGGAAAAAGTAGCAAGATCATTTTTTTTTTTAAATCAATAAAGAAAACAAGTTAAATGTTGAATACCCATGAGAGCATACCTTCTAAAAAGAGAGAGGGAGAAATGTAATCTAGATGTAGTCACTTTCTGACTAGATCAGTACTTTAAAGCATATGATGTTAGTAGGTACAAATCAGAAGGTAATGAAGCCTTAAGAGTTGTAGAATTCTCTTCTCTCAGGAAGAAAGAGTCAGGATAAATATAATATCTCATCCTGATACTATTATACACTTTAATTTTATTTATATTGTGTGGAAACATTAATTTTAGTAAAAATTCCATTTTGTTTGCAGTTTACTCTGCTTGTTAACCTTGCTATCCTAGAGCTGAGTGGTGCATTTATAAGGAAAGAGTGGTGAGTGGATTAGTGTGATAAGGACACTAGCACAACTGGCTGGAAATAAGTCTTTCTGTAAGTGTCACCTTCAGTTAGTTTTTTCTGGATGATGCATAAAGAGTTGTTTATAGATTTTGAGCCATATATAGTCCTTAAGCCACATACATTTCCCAGGGTGCCCATATAGTTCTGAGTGTTTGTCTGAGAGGGGTAGTTTAGTTACTGCTTGGGAGACATCAGCCATCTTAATTTGCAGTTCCCAGCTGAGGTTAGGACAGCAAGTAGTAAACATTACAAGTACCTATTTAGCATTCTTAGCATTTGCAGTGCCCATATTTAAAAAAACAAAAGAAGGAGAACCTGGGGAATCAGAGGCTACTCAGCCTGACTTCAATGCCTACAAACTCACTAGAGAAAATTATAAAATAGTCCATGTGTACATTTCTGCGGATGAGGGGCTGATCATTAGCTGCCAACATAGATTTGCTAAAAACAAATCATGTCAAATTAACTGATTTCTTTTTTCGACAGGATAACTGGTTTGGTATCTAAGGGGACTTGAGAACCGAAAGGGGAATGAGGTAGACATAATACCCCTGGATTTCGGGAAAGTTTTTGACACAGTCCCATATGCCATTCTCATGTATAATTAGGAGAAATGTGGAGGAATTGCCTCCATTAGGTGGATACATAATTGGCTGAATGACAAGATAAGAATGGTGATTAATGGATCAATGTCAGACTGGCAGGAGGTCTCAAGCAGAATCCCACTGGGGTCTGCTCTGGTTCCAGTGCTATTTAGCATTTTTATTAGTGATCAGAATATAGGAATAATGATCAGATCTGCAGACAACACAGAATTGGCAAAGGCTACAAACATTTTGGAAGACAGGATTCAAATTCAAAGGCATCTTGACAAATGGGGAAGTGGGCTATAGGCATGAAATTCAGAGACAAATGTCAGGTGCTGTCTGTGAGGGGGGAAAAAACCAAATGCACCAATATAGCTGTATTTGGCATGACAGTATAACTGTCACGAAGGATTTGGGAATTACGATAGACCCCATCTAAAAATTAATCAGAAACATGATTCTGTTGGAAATCATGAAATAGTAGGAAAAAGATCATAACTTTAAGAACAGCAAGGCAATAGAACAAGATGCCCAGGGAAAGCGTAGAATCTCATTCACTGGAGGTTTTCAAGGAGAGGCCAGAATCCTGTGTCTGTGCAAGGGGCTGGATTAGATGATCTTTGAGGTCCCTTCCAACCCTATGATTCTGTGACCTTTCACCTGACCACAGTAACACCCTTTTCCTACTATCTGATTTAATCAGGCAGCCCAACTGGAGGCTTTTAAACTGTAAGTCTACTGGTGAGTATTAACCGCCTAAAGACCTTGTTCCATGTTGTATTTTTGAGTTGCCCAAATGTTGATTTAATGTTAGTGCCAACTCCAGTATGGAGCAGTTACACATTCAAGCCAGTGGGGGGCTCTAGGGTTGAAAAGTAAGAATCCTCTGCCCTCCACCCCCACCCCCCACCCTGCTTCCCCTCTGCTCCTTGCCTCCCCCAGCTCTCCCTGTTCATTTCCCACCCCCTCAGGTTCCTCAAAACTTGGGGGTGGTAGTGGCGGGGGGGGGGGGGG